AAGATAACATTATGTGGTTTTATGATGAAGAGCTCAGAGTTGCAGGAGGTGATTGTTTGCTTTTTCCATTTAGTTTTAAAATGTGAGTTTATCGCTTTTTTTTCCCCTTCTCTGGGGACGGGAGGGGGATGATCGGGGGTGTATGCTCTTGTGAGGTGTATATGTAGACTTGGTAAAAATTCGTTTGAGATTTTCAGCAAGTCAAAAGGCCGAGCCTTAACTAGTGCCAATTCAAGCATGGTGAAAGTGCTTCAACTCTTTCTTTCCAGCAAAGGATCTGTTTTAGTATGAAAATGGTGGCATAAAAAGCAAACTATCATTACTAATGATTTTCCTCGTGCTGATGTTCGCGTGTTCGATCAACTGTTCCGTGCAGTAACCTATTGCTAACTAAACCAATTATTTCTGTGAGGATCTCACTCGTGACAAGGCCATGCATGGTTTGTACTTCTTCATTAAAATCTGAGTTTCCTTTTTTTATGGAAAACGAAAATGTATCTCTCAATCAACTACGTGTCTGTCGCTGATTAGTTAGTTTATGATAAAACAACAGTGCCCTAAGTTTGAATGGTTGTCTGAATACTATCAACCTATAGTCCTATACTATCAAGGTTCGGGGAAGGACTGCGTTTTAGGAGTGATGTAGGTCTAATCTAGCGCAAGTGTCAGTCGCACGGCTCAAATCCCTATAAGATATAGGGAGATAATTTTATCAGTGCTTCCCGATAATCAGCAATTTATTAGCACTAAGGTATGGTAAAACTGTTGAAAATCCATAATAGCAAGAACCATGCTTGAAACCCATAACCCCTGGCATGATGATGCTAACTTAATCCTCTTTTCACGTGCCTTGTCGCCCACTGGAAAATTATAATAATCTCTCGCTCCACACTCCGAAAATTGCGCCGTAAAAACTCCCATTTTCTTAATAAACTTCATGTCTCTCTCTCTCTCTCTCAATAATATGTGATACCTCATCTTATTGAAATTTAGAAATAAATTTAGCACTCTACAAGTATATAATGGAGACAAGAAGTCTGACGTAACAAAAAGGGCGCCTTTATTCCTGCTTTAACTAGTATTTAATTACGAGAAATAAATTGCGCCTTTATTCACGTCTTTCCCTCTTTTGTTACCAACTCCATAATAACATTAATTTCTTCATGAATCCAAATCTTCACTCCAGAAAAGCTCAAGAATAATGTGCTAGAAATGAGACAGTTTTTTTTGAAGAAGCTCCTTTCTTAGGTATGCACTTTATGAAATCGAAGAAACGGTATCCCTTCACTCATTATCTTTTTAAATTTCTTTTGTTTTCAGATTTGTAATTTAGCTCATTTATATCTATGTACAGACAGTGACAATGTTGACCCATTTCTACTATAAAAAAACAGTTGCTTTTGTAGCTCCGTTCCTTTCACTGCTTTGGTAAATATAGCTTTCTGTAACTAATCCAACCACCATTCTTTGCCATAATTTCTTATGCACTCTCATGGGATATAGAAAGCATTAGCTGGGCTTTCCCCTTTATTAAAGAAAATAGTAGCTTTTCTCTTTTGGAATCTACTATCATTAGGAGGCCGAAGTCTCTACCTAGGAAATTCGGATGCAATGAACAAAATATATCTCTATAGGTATGAGTTTTAACGATTTCTGAAAAATTTCACTTCACACTCGCAGAAGCTATACCGGCATATATCGTCAAAGTCCAAGGCAAAGCATGAACAAGTTTCCTATATACCCGAGATACGAAGCTGGGGACTATTGTGAATATGAGTTTGATCCTCAATCAGACTTTACGGATGTAAGTCATTGTTGTTCTTTCTATATTTTAAAGCAATTATATTTCATATTTTATTCTCTTTCTTTCCTCATCATATGTACCAACTTCGCTAGGGGTGAAACGCTTTTAGATTGTCTATTGGTATCTATGGAAATATTAAGGGTTTTTTTACTTTTTGCAAGTGTATAAAATTTGTATAATTTTTATATATATATACATATATACAAAAAATATATATTTCGAATATTATTTTAAGAACAACTCTGTAGTGTCATTTTTTTCAAATATTTATTACTTATTTAACTCACGTAGTATGCATGTGACTATAGTTTACCAGCAAAATGCTCCCTATGTACCAATTAATTTGATACTCTTTCACTTTTACTCTGTTTCTGAAAAAGTGACATCATACTATATCGTAAAACAATTTAACATTAAACTTTCTCAATTTATCATTAATCGCATGATTTTATAGCCATATAAATGTCGTTCGACATGTTTAAAACAGAAAAATTTCAAAGTGTTTACTTCTGTCTTGATGGTTTATGACTCGCACAATTTACAGTTCTTGACAGAAGCAAGAAATCATGAATCAGAAGGGAAAAAAACTGGTGTCACGCCTCCACGTCCCGTGGAATCGAGAAAGAACAATTTTGAAAAGGATGTGAAGAAAACTTGCAAGAAATCATGGAAAAGCTCACTGTTTTCATGGCTGAAGAGTAGTGATAATAAGAAGAATCAGAGAAACAGAGAAGCTTCAAAAGGCTCCACCATTAACAAGCCAAAGCGTGGATGTGTCTCTGGTCCAATGCCAGGGTATAGTGGGCCGGGTGCCATAGCTGTCAGGCCCAAGAAGCCCACTTCAGGACCCCTCACAAGTCTTTTCAGCCCAATGAACAGAGTGGACAATGAGGTTCCATATTTCTGTCTTCAGAAGTTTAAGGATAGTTCTCCTGATGTTCGATCCCACGGACCTATTTACCTCGTAACCTAAGAAGTTTGCCTGAGATATTTTAGGATATTTTTGTATGATAATGTATCAGGAAAATTAAAAGTAGAATTCATTTGCAATACTGCTTATGTTTTGAGTACTCATGGCTAAAACTTATAATGGAAAAGTGTCACGATCAATAGTTTTTTCCACAAATATCTGTAAAGCACACTCATTATGCTTCCAATTTTCCAGAATTTTTATTTATGACAGTTGTAATCAATGCAGCTTTATCCTATACGGCAAGGATCAACTAAGTGATACTCTCCCACAATAAGTGATCAATTTGTCCTTTTATTTTGGTCCAAAATAAATGTTCATTTATATAATCAAGAAAAAATTCAATTTGTTTTTCCAAAATTACCCTTATGTACGTATCCTTAAAAAGTCTTTTACTCCTCACATTAAATTATGCTGCAACATTTAATTAAGGATAGTTTAGTCACACTAACCATTTTTGTTTAGAATTTAACATTTCCTTAATTGATGTGCGAGAGACAAATTGGTCTGTGGACCAGAGGGAGTAACTTGAATCATTCAAGTCGAAATTTTAGCATCAATGAGGCTTGCAATATAGGCTTTTCAGACTTGCAAATACTTCGGTCATTTAGAGTTTAAGGTTTAGAATTCAGGTTTATCAAATTAAAATTTTGACATTAATTTTTGCAAATAATGGCAAAATATACAGTTTAAGTCTGTCAAGCCTGTACGAGTAGTGAAGAAGTATATAGCACTTTGGTTGGTTGTTGACCAACGGAAAGCATGAGAGAAAGATGCACAAAAGGCTAAAAAAGGACGAAGTAATTGTTCCTCGCAAAAGAAATATAATCAATTGATCGAGTTCGAGAATAGGGATCTTCGGATCCATGAGAAAAAACATTCATGCTATTCTCTTTTTCAATAAAATGCCGCTTTGAAAAATTTAAGTGAATAGGAAGTGAGTAATAATTTGCACTAAGAAAAGTCTAACTTCAACATGTTCTTTTTTTCGCTTAAGCTTCAAGCTCTGTTTTTCATGTACATCAAGTATTGTCCAAACTCAAATATGTAATATTTGGCTAGTATCTCCAGCACTTTATATCCATTACGATCGTGGAGCACTTTATATCCATAAGAGTCCACCACATAAGCTTATAATAAGTGATAGTTGAGACCAACCAAATTTACACAAGAAAATATTCGAGTAAGTTGTAAAATAGATTTATAATGAATTGTCGAAGCCAGACAACATATAACACTCACATTAATAAACAATAAGGACTATTAATGGTCGTTTGGTAGGATGCATTAGATAAAATAATGTTTGCATTAGCTTTGTGTATTAATAATACCTTGTTTGGTAGACATTTTGAACTTATGCATTAGTTATGCAAGCATTAGTTATACATCCTATTTGGTATTATCCTATGCATAACTAATGCATAGAAAACCATGGTATTAGCAATACAATGGATTTTAATGCATGCATTAGCTTAGTTAAAGATAAATTGTCCTTCAAAATTTATGCTTGATTAAAATATGCTAGTTATTATATTAATGCAAGTTTAAAATAATTCAAATAGTGGGAAATAAAATTATATCTCTAGTAAATAAATAAATACTTAGCATATTTCTTTTTTTTATAAATAAATATTTAGTTCTATATTACAATATAGGTAGACAAATCAAATAATTTTTTAAAACTTTTTCATATAAAAATATTTCTCAACATATGTTTCTTTTAAAAAGTTTTAGAGTGATGGACTGGTTTTGAGGGTATTTTTGTAAACAAGCAATTCTTTAAGAAATTGTGTAATGCTTTAATACATCAAACCAAACAATGGATAAGAAATATGTCAGCATAACTAATACCAGCATAACTAATATCAACATTATTAATACACCATATTCAACATTATTCTTATGCATCCTACCAAACGACCCCTTAGTGTTCTTGTACATACATAATGGACGGTTTGAGTCTATACCCAAACTTAAGGGACTACATTTTACCTTTTCTTTACAATTAGACACAACACATTAATAAAAATCGTATTTCCTAAATCGATTTGTAACTCGCTTGTGCTAAATGCGATACAATATGCAAGTCGCAGTATCTGAATGCGATTTTCAGGTCGTATTTGTTGGATTTGCAAGTCCAAAAAAAATCAATTAAAGTGGACAGAGGGAGTGCATTTTTATTTTTAAATAACTTTGTCTAACCAAATATCATCACATAAAACAAAACAAAACAAAACAAAACATGTATTAACTTACAAATCAATCCCCGTAGTGCTCTTTTTTCATTAATACGAGAAGATAGATTCACTTCAAGTCACAAACAGAGAAGCACATTGGTGCTTGCATTGTGTATTATACATATACAATATATACACATATACATAGACATCTAAAAATTATAGACAACCTTTTCATCTGCACTAAGAATCAATCAATCAATAAACCAAAACCTAGTAAATGATAGTTCTACGCTATATGAATCTTCATTGATCATATCTTCAAATTCGAGCAGAAATTACCAGTGGAATAGATCAATCAACCATACAGTGACATTACAGACGTAGGTGCGGCAATCCTAGCTCTGGCTCCTGCTTCCTTGTTCTACATCTACGTTGCATGGATTTACCCTGCTAAAAAGCCTCGTTAATGATCTCAATCGTGTTGATGTTGGTGTCTTTTGTCCTTCCTCTTCTTCTTGTTCAGTATTCTGTCTTGCAATATCAATCACTAAAATCCCCTCTGGCCTATTGCTCGTGGATGCTGAAGATGTAGTACTAGTCTCATCTCCCCAAAACAGAACATTAGTTGGAATATTTTGTGTCTCTGTAGAAGCTGAACCCTCTTCTACTGATGACCCAATGGTCTCGGAAATTGATTCTGCAGACTGTTCTGAAACAGGGTTTCGGCAAAGAGGACACGTGGAATGAGAATGAAACCACATATCAATACAATCAACATGAAACCCATGATTGCATTTTGGCAAAACTCTTGTATTTTCACCCTCAGAGACTTCGCTAAGACAAACAGAACATTCCAATCCATCTTTAAAATCCTTCATATTAAATGGAACTACAGGAATGGTTTTAAGTACAGAAGGGTCAAGCCCTCTACGGAGTACATTCACTTCTTGATAACCGCCAGCGAAATTGAAACGTCGACGGCGGCGCCGTCTTGTGCCGCCGTTTGGATTTCCGGTGTCTTCTTGCCGGTATCTCCAGAACCATTTGGTGTATAAGTGGAGAAAGAATATGAAAACAACTACGAGGAAAAGGAATATGATTACAACCATCATGATTTTGGCGGTGAGCTCAATCATACCTGATTCACCTAATTTTCCACTTCCCATTTCTACACAACTCTTTTAATTGCCTCTTGGAAACTTTAATAAGAATCCGAAACAAAAAAGATTGAAACTTGGGTCTAAGTAGGAGGCGAAGGGGAGTTTAAAAGTTGAGAAATTTTTGGAAAAGACGAGAATGGAGTCTAAGTTTGAGTGTGACAGTGTAAAGGTAAAAGAAAAGAGGAGTCAAACGGATGGAAAAAAGAAGAGTCAGCAGAAGACTCCCAGCACGGCGGCGTATGAGACAAAGGAACAAGAATTCAAATTAGCTAAGCTAACTCTCGCCGCCTTCTTCACGGTTTAAATGGTGGGAAGCTTCTGATTTTACGCATGAAACAGTTGTTTGAGTTGCTTGACTTCAATGGCGCAGACCACTTCTTTGAACATTTCAACGATGACGAATAAAGAAAGTATTACTATTTGGAATTCTCTTCTCATTTAGGCAGTTATGGTTTTCTTAAATTAAAATCATGCGCCTTAAGAAAATATTAGTCTGGTTGCCCCGTGATCTGGATTTTGAATATAATATCAACTGGTGAATGTTTACTTATCCTTTTTTTTTGGTAACGCTAATCCCGTATAAGTTATGGTATAATTTTTTAGATTAATTATACCAAAAGCAATGTGTAATAACAGTGTATATTAACAATAGTATTTTAAGAACCACATAACATGGCTGTATTATTTTTACACGCCAGGCTGTTTAGTTAGTATCTTAGATATGCCTCTTCTATTTCCAGTAATATCCATATACTGTAATAAATTTTAAAGTTATCCCAAAGCTTTATTATGTACCATTCATGCTGAAAAGAGAAATGAAAATTATATTTATTGATCTATCTTACATTTTATGACATGCATTCTTTCTTCTTAAAATCATCCAAAACAAATATAAGCTCACTGATATAATCCATTTATTATTATACATAGTGTTACTTACAATGCTTATCTCGTAATCTGCATATAATTAATTGTGCTCTCGGACTAAACTACCATGGACGAATGTTGCATAGTCTTAAAAAGGATTAGTTATAATAGTAATTTTGCTCTAAATTTCTATGGTCTATCTAAACCAGAGCTTGAAAACTTGTTGGACAAAATGGTTACGTGGTAGTATTTTATCCGAACCATATATATGTTACTTCTTTTTGTTTTCTTATTCTGACAAGGAGGAGGAAAAACAAAAGAACGTTAGAGACTGTGAGAAAAGAAAGTCGCAGCGAACCAGAATTTTGGGCTCCGCTATTCAGCTAAGGGTTAGTCCACACGCACTGTCTTGGCAAATGGCTCTAATCTCTATACCTTTCAAATGACAGGAAAACTGTTTGTCAAATCAAATTTGAAGAATTAACCTACATATCTATGGAATTTGAAGAATTAATCCATCCAATTTATTAAGCTAAAAATAATCTATGGAAGAATAATAGGTATATAATCGTGTATAATATATGTCCAACAGTAAACCCGACCGGCTATTTGCGTAACGCTTTCCCACATTCATGTCCAGACAACTTTTCAAGTAGGCCAGCCTGGACTAACATCGGCCCGCTCTGAATCTGGACCTTCGCACATGTTCAGTTCTGAGCCGGTCCCCTTAATGGAGGGTGCTACTGGGCCGGGTAATTTACTAGGAGGGAGGCCCCAGCCCAATCTACGAACCCGACAATATCTACGGTAGGCAAAAAAATCGGTCTTTATCATCGTCAATAAATTTGCAAATAAATACGAACTATAATTTCAAAATGTATTGACACTCAAAACATACATAAAGGTAAAGTGTAATTCCTTAAATATAAGGGATAATTTCACGTAAATACAACTCATACACTTACATTGCAACATAATAGCTTAGATACCACTTTGCAAATCTATAGCCCAAAAATAATAGGCTAATTCCCGAAAAATAACTTATTTCACACAATCAACTGCAGTTATTGTTCCCTTTTTATACAACCAGTTGTTTTATTCTATTGATTTCCTTTGGTTATTAAGCATTTGATTAAAAAAATGCAAATCAGCCATAACACAACTCAAAAATCCTGAATAATACATATTATCTGAAGGCAAGAAATTCAAACACTTTTATGTGCAATTGCTGAAGCAATCCAACAGGATAAAAAAAAATTAAAACTTGGTAAATGAATTGTAGAATCCCTCCAATGCTCTTATACACTGACAATGTATATATATCCTTATAAACTAAAAAAATATATAATTATACAACATTATACACAAATATACATATTTGCACAAAATTATACAATAATGTATAAGTGTATATAAACATCACTTATGCAATATTTCCACTAGAAAACATAGTTTGTCCAACACTACACTTACTGTAAATAATGTATCAACTTGTATAAACATATATAAGTGTGTAAGAGATGTTTGTATATCCATATACACAATTATACACTATTATATAGTGTTGATACAAACTGCTACATAGTTATAATTTTTTATCCAAGTTTCGAGTTGTAGTAAAAGGTATTGGATGATTCAACTCGTCAATAGGTTAACAATTTTGCGCTAACAATTTGGAATTCAACACCCTAGACAAGATACACCCAATTTCAGATTCCAGACTTCAAGGTCATAACAATGATGACCAGAATTTTAAACTTCAAAATCTCCCAAAATTAGTGGTATTTTTTTTTTGTGCAAATCAAGTTTGAGAGCTATTTATTTTCAAAACTATGTCTATTTTTATTTTTCTTTCAAAATTTTCAATATTCTTCTGTTTGCCACCATTAGACTTGGCGGGCTTGGACGACGGAGGAGGAGCCTGAGCCTTCTTCGAGCCAATGATGGCAGAACTGCGTAGAGGCTAGGGATAGGGGAATAGCGGGAGATAGGTTAAGAGAGGATGATGGGATCTGTGTAGGTTAGAAAGAAAGCAGCGAGAGGCGGTGGGGAGAGAATTTGGTGTGCTGGGAATGAAGAAAGAAGAAAATAATAAAAATCTAGAAGTGTGTCTTTAATAATAGGCTAAAGGCTGAAAATTTTCTTTCAATATGTACAACATGGGCTAAACCGGGTAAAAACTTCAAATCTGAGCCATTTTCGGTTAGGCTGTTAGGCCAAGTGCCAAGGGCCATCTTCTTAAATATAACTTGAGAAATAACATTGTTTTTAAGTGAAAGAGGATACCTTTACTAGAGGTATCAAGAGTGCGGGTTGGTTAAATTTGGGTGGATGAAAATGAACCGAAGCAATAAAGTTTGGGTATGATGATCTAATAGTAACGGGGACATAGAATTTGTGTACCTGTTAACAGCAGTGGAAGATTGTTGAAATTTTTGTGATAGAAATTTCTCTACGCCGATTCTATTTCACTTTGAAAATAGAATTTTTAATTCCACAAACTAAGTGTCCTTTGTATATTTATTGTGAGAAGAAAAGGAGATGAATTCTCTGTGTTTTTCTTCTTCTTCTTTTATCTCTCTGAAGAGTACGTATGTTCCTTTTTTATTTAGGGTTAAGGAAGAAAGCAGTTCTGAAGAAAAACTGTTCCCACCCAAAAAAATAACCGTGTAGAATATGCTCCTACAAACTCAACGTATAGAGTAACTTCTGATAAGAGGTTATTTAATCTTATCTATTCATAAATGGGTCGGGTCAGCCCACATGGAGCGACCCGCGACCCAAATTGAAAATAAATCCAACATCTCCACTTAGCTCATGGTGGGCTGTACCCAAACCAATATCATGCCAATATCACACATTATTCATACGGGCAAATAGTTTGTGGGACGTGCGAGCATCAAGGGCTATAAAATATTTCAAACCTATTAAGGTTATTCTAAAGCTCTATGTAGAAATCCGATCACATTCGGAAAGGATTCACTACTAACATGAGGATCTTATTACTCGTTATACCCCAGACATTACCCGCTACTCCAGTAGCTAGTTATCAAATCCATCATCCTCGAAAGAGGTGAAATAGAGTTCATATTTAACTTTGTATTCATAATTACATTTGATACTCTCATGGTAAGTGTAATGGTCGACCTATGAATACAAGTTAAATTACTAAATTTTTAGTTATCTTCTCTTTCTACTCGAATCTTTCTATTCCAAATCAACTATTTTCCTAGACATGCACTGCATTGCTGAATCACTCATGGTTATTAGTGACATGCTAAAGTAGCAACACTAATTGGCACTTCAAGAGACAGTAAAAGGTCAAAGGGTATTCTAATAAAAGTTGATATAACTTCTTTGGGATCTCACACAATGAAGAAACATGGACTCATTCTTCCATTATCCCATTGGTCAATAGCACACGTGGTATGAAACACATGTTACGGTGTTCTCACCTTATATTGGCGCGTGTGTCTTATTCTTTTAATCATTCAACACCATATAGATCTTGGTCTAGACACCTTCAAGTGTCTAACCCAAGTTTCCCACTTCAATAATCCCCAAACCATCTTATTAGAGAAACTCGCATTTGGCTTACAAAACAAGTCATAATCGAATAGTGAAATTCGTAAGTCTAGTTAGTTGTCAAGAACGACCTCTACAAGTAAATATAATCCCGCATTATCCAAGGTTCTATAAGGTCTCATCTCTTCACGATTCTTAACGCATAAGGCAATTGCTCGTGTGAGAGAGCCAATCTCGCGACTTGTTCGATGCACTTTATCAATAAAATATTCATCACATGCATACGAGATATAAGTGTAATTCAAGAGTCAATTATTGATGTGCATATTATAATACTAAAGTCATTTTACAATACATAAATATGTTCTTATCCTTCGCAAACCTCGAGCCATAACATGTTTCTCAAACAGGTCTCTAGATATCGCCTTTGTAAAAGAATCAGCTATCATGCTTCGCGTAGGAATGTACTGTAAATTTATCTCTCCACTTGCTACCATATCTTTTACAAAGTTATACTTGATATCAATCTGTTTGGTCTTGCAGTGATACTTAGGATCTTTTGTATATGTAATAGTCGCTTGATTATCACAATATAGAGTCATGGGACCCTGAGAGTTCTTTGTAATATCCAAATACTCAAAGAATCTCTTCAACCAAACAACTTCTTGTACTATAGACGCACAAGCCACGAACTCAGCTTCCATCGTGAAAGGGTTATACATGTTTGTTTCTTACTTTTTCATGATATAGCACCACCATTAAGTAAGAAGGCATAACCGGATGTTGATTTTCTATCATTCCGATCACCGGCCCAATCAACATCTGTATATCCTCTCAAGTATAAATCATTTACACTATAATCCCTTCAGGTATCTGAAAATTCTCTTCACAACTTTCCAATGATCTCTTCTAGGATTGGATTGATACCTGCTAACCAGCCCTACGACATAACAAATGTCTGTGCGAGTACACGTCATAGCGTACATCAAGCTCCCGACAACACTTGAAT